TAATTATTATATACAAAATTAAATATTAAGTTTAGTTTTGGTTCTGGTTTTTGAACTAGAACTGAACTAGAACCAACATCAAATGGTTCTTGGTTCAAAGAACCAAAACCATTAATTTTTTTATAGAACCGAACAGAACCACTTGGTTTGGTTTCTTCTGATCTGGACATTTTGTTCACCCCTACTTAAATGGTTCTAAAATCGATGAAAGTAAAGATGTCATTCTTAAAGAGGATAACACTTCATACATGATAAAAATCGAAGATAAACTAATGAAGTAAAGTTATGGTAAATCTGAAAATAAGGTGGAGTTTGTTCAAATAGGTGATCAACTAGGTGATACACCTGTTAAGGGAGAGCAGCATCAAGATGTGCCACCTACTGAAGATGAATCTGAGTTGGAAACTGAACCAAACTTAGAGGAGAAGAACTTAATCTACCCTTTGACTAAACAGTAGGAAATGATAGAGAAAAGAATAACTAGCATACAAATTCAGGTTTTCTAGCATTAGTCATTAATCCATACGAGTAACTGAGTGATAAAGAACCTAAAACCTTTAGTGAGGCAAGTCAAAGTGATCTCGTGGGTAGTTATGATTTATGAATGAGAAAATGGCATTCCTATATAAGTAGAAAACAAGAGAATTTGTATCTAACCCCAAAAATGACTCTATATTGGATTGTAGGCAGATTTGAAAAAGAAAATAATACCAAATCTAAACATTTAAGATTTAAGGTCAAATTAGTTACAAAATGCTTTCCCAAAGAGAAAATGTTGACTATAACGATTTTTTTTCTTTTCAATTGTAAAATATACTACAATTGGAGTTATGTTTGCTTTAGTTTGCACATTTCAATCGTAAAATAGAATAACTTGATGTTAAAATTGCATTTTTACATGAATAGTATGAAGAAAAGAATTTTATGAACAACTTATTGATTTTCTTTATAAGTGTCTTCTTAAAATGCATTTGTATGGCCTTAAGTAGTCACCTAAGCAGTGGAATAAAAATGGTTGGTACATTCCTGTTATCCTTAGATTTCAAAATAAGTGAATTTGATAATTGCTTGTAATGTAATTCTAAATTACCCACACATATACATGTTTATTTGTAACAATAAGTTGATGATATGCTAACAATTATTTCATGTGTTGAAACAGTTAGTAATAGAAAGAGTGCTTTAAATTTGGAATTTGAAATGAAAGATTATGGCAATGCCAATAAAATCTTAGGTGTGGATATTGTTATATATTGAATCAAATCTATTTTAGTTATAAAACATACCAAAACAAAATAATAATAATAATAATAATAATAATAATAATAATAATAATAATAATAATAATAATAATAATAATAATAATAATAATAATAATAATAAAAATAAAATAAGTCCTTATATTCATAAAGTACACAACAAGTTTTCCAATGTTCAATGCCAAGTCAATGTAACTTTAGTAAATCATTCTATGCTTAGCAAAGATCGCTATCCTAATAATAAAGATGACAAGATTAGTCACGTAGAAAATGTCATTAATCAAATACAATAGGTTCAGCAATGTACACTATGGTGTTGTATTGTGCTTGATATTGCTTATTTGGTTAGTATTTTTTGCAAATACGTATGATCTTGAATTTCAACATTGAAGAAGCACTAAAATAGCTCTTAACATACTTGAAATTTGGGTTTAGTGTTTAAACATTGTAATGAAGGAATTTAAATATGTGCATGCTAATTATAAAGTCCCGTTTGGCCCCCATTATTTTTAATTTTAATGGAAGGAATAATATTTTTTTGGAGAATAAAACACATTGACATTAAACTTTACTTCATAAGAGATATTATATCCAAATGCGTAATCCAATTTGAAAAAGATTCATTCACAGTTCAACCCCTCGGGTACTAAACTTTTTCTTTTAGTCAAATTTAAGTCTTGTCTTGGCTTATCATTGATAAATGTAATTATTCTGTAGATAATTGAGGGAAATGACACAAAGCTAAAGAGTTTTGAGTTCTTCACAATTGATCCATGGCGAAGATTGTGAGTCTTGGTAGTTGGTAACCCGTGAAGCCCAACTGCGAAATGCGACTTTCAAAGTTGATAGAAAGAAGCACGCTTATGTGCAAAATGCAATCACTGCTATATAAAAAATATTATTTTGATAATCTCCTTTCTATTTTCAAAAAAAATTAGAAACCTCCCAAAAAATTTACTTTAGACAACAAATTCATCCCTGTCGACAAAAGGTAAATATGCATTTCCCATTTTACTTCCCTATACGTTTTTGAAATATTTATTTGATTATATTTATATTATACTTTTTTCTTTCTTATTATTAAGATTATAAGTTTTTTTTTTAATACCTTTTGATTTTAGATTAGAAAATGCCATAATAAATATTGTTAGAAAGTTTTAAAAAATGTATAAAATGTGATTTTTAGCAAATATAATTGAAACGTAATTAACAAATAAATGTTTTAGAATAATTAGATTACTTTTCATTTCATTTTAGTAGTAGAAAATTTAGATAATTATCATTTGTTCATTTTTAATGAGAAATAATATTCACAAAACTATGAGTATGATAGAAAAATAATCTTTTTTTTTAAAAGTAAATTTGTTTATCTCTAAATTAAAATATAGAGAAAAATGATGAACAATACAAAGTTACAAACATAATCATAGATATAAGGAAAGAATAGATGGGAGATTTCTCAATTTTATCGTAAAATATTGTTTGAGTTATTATCATTAGAGTAATGCTATCTGTATGAGTGATAACATGGAGGATGGAGAAGGGGGGGAAAAGAAAACAAAGAAGGAAAAAAAAAAATGAAATCAATTAATATAATGTACATTGTTATTTTGTACATCGATCTGTAAATCATGATGTTCAAATAATATTACTCTTGTCATTAATATTTTTTAGTGTCAATTCTTGGTACCTTCTTTAACTCTATTCATCTTGCTAGACAAAAAAGTTTGAGAAGTTATTTTTTTGCTAAGGAATAACACTTTTAATTAAAATATTTGTAAAAGCATAAATAAGAAAGTTTTGTTACAAATTAAAGATATTCGATTAGAAGCCCCAATAAAATCTAGTAACCGACAGCCACAAAATCTGCATTCTTTAAATTCTTGTCTTTGAACATTTAAATTATGCCAAAAAAAGGGGATTTAATCCAAGTAATAAAATATTGAGACCCTGTTTAGGTAAGCTAAAAAAATTATTAAAATTCTAATCAAAATCAATAATTAATTAGCTACGTATTAAATTTCACGGGATCTACAATTTTTCAATTATCCATTCCATCAAATTTTATCTAAATTCACTAAAAATTTAATTTTTATTTAAACCAAACAGGCTAAGAGAGGTATTAATCAATAGCTAATCAATTTTTTGAACTTTTCCAATACAAGAATTATATGTTAAAATATATGTCATAATCACAATGTTGCCCGCATTAGGCAATTGTCAATTGATGCATTGATAATTACAATCACACATAAAAAAACCACTTATGAGATAAAAAAAAAAAAAAATTTTGAACATATTTGAATAATTGTTTAATGTACTTTATTCAAATAAAAGGGCTTTTTAGAGAAAAATTGACGTAAGATAATTTTCTTAAATATACAATTTTCAATTTTGTTTTATTTTTTTAGTTCATTATACTAATTATTTCGAACAAAAACACAAATATTCAAATTTATGTCGTCGTGAAATTCACCTATTAGTATCAACTTATAGGAATTGGACACGAACATCTAGTTTGATCGAAAAAAATCAAAATCATTTTGTAATTCTACACTGTAACATGAAAAAAATATAAAAATACAAATCGATTATAAGAATTTGTAACATTCCGATTCCTAAAAGTCATAAAATATATTATTGAAAAGTTGGCATAAGTTATAAATTTCATAAAGTATGTGATTAAAAATAAAATTATAAAAATAAATAAATTTTAACAAGTGTTACCCGAAAGCATGAAATGTGTGCAGGTTCTGATATGCTGCAAAAGAAGCCACGTGTAAAAATTCTACTGCTTATCTTACATGCTTTTGTACATACATCCCGTACAGTACCCCAGACAACAATTAGACTTTGTCTGTAAGAAATCACAGCATCACCAGATCAGATTCAATCACGACCGTCAGTCCCATTTTCCGTAATTAAATCCAACCAATAAGGGTACTTACATAATCCTCAATCCTCAAAAGCACAGCATCAGTATTGGGACCCACACCATGTTTGTCTGAATGCATGACCAATAATAAACTACTCGAAATGGCAAATACTTAAAAGTCTCCCTGTTGAGTCTTAATTAAATATTAATTCCAAGATTAATTAATTAAATAAATTAGTAGTTTAGGGGATTGTCCACTTTTTTTTTTTTTAATGTTATAATATGTAAATCAATAGCCTGCTTCCATATAGATAAAATTATGCCTGTAAATTACATGTTAGATAAAGCAAATTACATATTTCATGACAACATTAATTAAGAATTACACCAAGATTTTGATGAAAATGATTAGATATTGTCAAACTAATAATAACAAAAAATAATTGAAATCTTGTTTTTTTTTTTTTTTTTTTTTTTTTTTTTTTTTTACTTTCGTATAATATTATGTGCTATATATACACGAATAGCAGTAATCAGTACTAAATAATCTAACAATGTTTACAAAAATGCAAATCATTTAGGATTCTATAGACAAATTTTTGAAAAGTTAAAAATTGTCTCTGCGATTAAAACATTGCTTTTAAATATATTTAAATAATTTTTTGGAAGTACTTTATATATTTACAAGAACTTTTAGACAAAACTTACTTTAGATAGATTTATCAACTACAAGAAGTAAAAATTATATTGAACAAAATTGAACGATCTAGTATTATTTAACAGACGTGTTGATCAATGAATTTCCATATATACAAACACGATATATTATATAGGTGGACAGTTTTATATTATCATATTAATTTTCATTATTATCTGTACCAAAAAGCAAGGAAAGAATCTAGAAATGCCCATTTCTTTTCATTCCATCAAACCCCCAGAAATATGAACAAATCAAATTACTGTATCATGAGATAGATATAGTGATATAGAGAGAGAAATTGGAGAGAAAAGGTGGAGAATATAAAGGACCAGAAGTTGACAAATTTTTCGTCATTGTTCTTGCAAGGTCATTTGTTTTTGTGGAGATTTCATATGTGGGATCTCTCTCTCTTTCTCATTTTCTTGAAAATTAATTATAATTATATAAGTAGAAAGTATATACACACACTTGAAAAAGAATCCTTTTTTCTTCATTCTCTCTCTAAAAGTAGTTGCTTTCTGTTGTTTGGCTATAAATAGAGAGAGGCCCAGCAGATCGAAAACTCCGATGTTTTGTTCAGTTTAAGAAGGATCCGAGCTTCTTCAATGAAGTTATCAAGCCATTCTCTTTATTTTTTATTTTCTTTTATTTGACTGTTAATATTATTACTTTTAAATTTATATGTTTTGGCTTCTTTTTATTGGTTTTCGCTTTCACTAGTGGCCTATAGTGTGAAAGACTTTGAATTTCACATTATTCTGAGTTATTATTGATACTGTGGGATGATTCAATCTACAAGGGGTTCTTGAGCACTGATTCCAGGATGTGGGTCTGAGGTAAATCTATCTTTTTATTCATTTTCTGATTTTTTATTTTTTTTCTCAAGATTTGATTGGATTTTGGCTATGACCCAGGAGATGAAAAGTCTTGTTTTTCCCTTTGAATTTTGCTCATGAATAATTGTTTGATTATATGAATTGCAGTTGTTCTTAAAATGACCGCTGTTTGAGTTTTTTAGATGATTGGTATTAATTGCTTGGATAATTGAATTTATGCATTTTTCTTTCTTAAAAAGTCTCATATATTTTGGGTTTTTTCTTTGATCTTCAATAGATAAAATCGTAAACTGCAAACGAGTGATAAATTTGATGAGTGATCATTTCTACTTAGGATGCACTTGAATATTTTTCCCATAGGCCATATTGTGGTTCAAAAAGATTGCAGCTCTGTTGGATGTATGTCGTGCTGATTATTTGTTTGTCTGTAGCATATCTTAGCTCACTGTATTTTTCAACTGTATTTGTAATAGTCCAAGAGTGTTAGAATCAGCCCCAATAATTTAAGCTAAACTTGTTGAGGGAATTTATTAAGTTTCGTAATTTAGAATTTGAGATATCATTATCAAAAAATGCTACATTCCATCCATTTGATCTCTATGTTAAGTTGTCATGAATTTTATAGGCCCTAAAGCCGTCCTTTTATAAACGGGAATTAATTCTATAAAACCAAGACTCCAAGACCTGCGAAGACCATATTTTGGCGGTAACATCACATTCTCTGTCTATTTAAATATGTCTAGGTGGTATTATCTTACTTGAGCATTCTCAAATGGACATACAAGGTCAGTTCCCCTAGTTCTCCCTGCTTCTTTGAGATGTGATCATTGGCAATGAAATTTGCAAGCTACAGGCTCTTTTTTATATATATATCCAAATTAGGAAAATTAGGCGATGATGAATAAAAGAACTTGATGTGAAGTTTTGTTATAAGTGTGCTGGTTCTACTTGGTTGTTTAATTTTATTTGCTGATGTGAAAATGACGACCTATATAGGTGCATTAAGTAATTCTGTTGGTTGGGGTGTCTTACAAGAAAGTATGAATCGTGTTGGATTACTTTCGTAATGAGATAAAAAGTTGAATCCCCCTTACTTACTTAGACACGTGTAGCGTAGATGCGTATGACTTTTGTATCTCCTATCTGTTCATCACTAAAGTAACATTTATTATAGCGGTCATTAGATTTTGACGATATGAGCTGGATGTGTGTAATCTAGTCGGGGTTTAGGAAATATTCAACGCGTTATTATCTATTTCTTAAATGAGTAGCATACCATTAATTGTTTTTTTCCATTTCCTTACAAACAATTAACTCTGGCCTTCTATATAAACAAAGAAGCTCCAGGCGTTATAGTTACACATATCCACCTGCCGTGTACAATAAAAAGTAGAGTCTTCTCCATCTTTTGTTTCATCGGTAAAGAAAAACTATTCTCTTATGGAGAGCAAGTGAGCCGTGTTTTTTACTTCTTCCTCAATCAGTAAAGGGGTTGCTTGGATTTGGTTTTAACGTTGTCGTGTGAACTCAGAGGTCCATGTATGTAAGAAGCAGCTGTCATTACACATGGAGACACACATTTTATTTTCTTTCTATTCACTTCATCAGTTCTATGTTTATTCTATCATTAGATCTGCAATTATATGTAAGTTGTTTATTTTTGCCATAATTATTCTTTTCTCTAATAATTTTTACTCATATCAAGTATTTTGAATGTTAATCTTGCATCAGTGTCCTTCCTAACATATTGAAAAAGAATTTCTTATTTCCTAAAGCTGTAATGGAAACCATGGGGTCGTTTCAAATACCTTGAATCATGTGAGACATCAGCTGTGATGATTCCCACCTTTCTTTTCCTTTTAACTCTTTATTTAGTTCTATTTTTCTTGGTAAAATCATGAGCTAAAACGTCAAAAGAGTCGATAACATGAATTTGGTTGGCCAAATTGCAGAAACCAAAAGATATGAATTTGTACAGTGTATGCTGTAATCCAATTGCATGGTGACCTTCTATTATATTACCGGGTTTAGAAATTATTGTATATTGACAGTGGTAATTTTACATAGTGATTATATTTTATTTCTCTCATAACTTGTCTTTCTTTCCATTTTGCAATTTCTCGAAAAGTCGCGTCGAATATGTTGTGGAGGGTAAAATTGAAAATTCTGATTTTCGTCGTAATTCTGGCCTTTTCTTTTTCTTGCTTGAATTATTGATTTTATAATCAGAAAAAGCCCCCTCCCCTCTTAACTTTCCCAAGAGAAGAAATGTTATTTTTTTTTTCCCTTGGAGATAGAGGGACTCTCATCTTTTGATGAAGAGATGGATTGGTTTTTTTGTGATTTTCTAGTTCATTGAATTTCTTGATAATTGTTTTAGGCTATCGTTCGTGTATTAGAAAACCATATTACATAACTTTTTCTTCCTTACTCTGTATGTTTAGTTGGCATGCCAGATTGTCTTTGTTTTCTATTCAATAACTTGGCAAGACCTCTGTGCAATGTTCTAACGTCTGTAGCTGTGTCAGTTAGAGATAAGTGAGCAATTCTTGGTGAATTTCAGTTGATAGAAAATTATTGCAAATTCTGAACTATAATATTTTATTTTAGATTATTTATTTGAACCTGTCTGTTTAATTTCCTTAATCAAATTTGTATTCTTTCTGTTAGTGTTGTATGATAAATGGTTCCTAGCTCTTGGTAATCAGAAAAATATGGATTTTATATATGATCACAACTTGATACTAATCTCATTTCATGGCTTTGTCTTGTCAAGATTGCTTTGTTATTTTCATTAACATTGAAACTTGTATTGTTATGCAGAGTAATGGGACATCTTATTACCTGCAAGTGATTTTACTTAATCTCGAAAAGGAATAAAAAACTATGGAGAAGTGAAAAAAAGAATTTGTGATGTTGACACAATTATTTTTCCATTCAAATCTTCTCTGCAGGAATGGGAACAAAAGTGCATTGTGAAAGCTACTTGCCAGGATATTACTCCATGAGGAACCTTAACGAGGATTCTAGCAGTAGTAGCTGGCCCCTGTTTTATGGGGACGAGAACTTAACAAGCGGGCAATATTACAATGGTTTCACGCCAAGGGCTATAACAGATCGATGTCTAGGACATGATAAGGATGCACTAAAGCAGAAAATGCTAGAACATGAGACAATCTTCAAGAATCAGGTACTGTCATGTCTTGCATTCTAAGACATCCACTTCAAGTTTATTAAGTTCTCAGTTCACATGGTTGGCTCAGCTTAAAAAGTTAGCTTATAAGTAAATAAGTAAGTTTCAAAAATTAGTTATTTATTGGTGAAAGTTGGAAATAAACAAGTTAATAGTTTTGCCGTTAAGCTAAGAATTACTTTTAAAAAAAAGTAAGATGCTTAAACATGTTTGGAGATAAAAGAGTTGCTTAAGACCGATGTTATTTTTTTTTTAAGCTTAGTCGAACATGTTCATGTATGTAAAATGGAGTCCTTTTTATACTTTAATGATCCAATGATGTCGCAGAAGCTCAATTATTTGAATCTTCTCTTTCATCCAGGTTCATGAGCTCCACCGTCTTTACAGAACTCAAAGGGATATGATGGAAGAAATCAAAAGAAAGGAACTACACAAAAATCAGGCATCCATTGAACCATCATCGTCATCAAGTCTTCGGGGATCTCATATGCCAACAAATGAAGCTCGAAATTGGCATATGCCAGGCATTTCTTTGTTGAATTCTGGTTATGGTAGAACATCATTGTCAAGATTTGAAATTGTTAATTCTCCTCTGAGGTGTACAAAAGGGAACGATATACAGGCTGGCCCTTTTCAGTTCCAAGACGGGTGTACTTCAAAGGACTGTGATGCATTAGATTCAAGACCGTCCAAGGTGAGGAAGAAGTTATTTGATCTTGAACTTCCGGCCGATGAGTACATTCATACAGAAGAAGGGGAACAGTTACCAGACCACAAAGTATCCGGCATGTTGAGTTACATTTCAAATGGAGATCCAAAAATAGAAGCCCAGAGCAGTATGAAGATTTCCCCTGTTGATGGTGGGACGACTGATTTCCGTAGAGATGTTTCAGCTTCAGGTTCCCATTTAAGGGGCTCTGCTGGGTTGGTTGATCTAAACGAACCCATTCAGATTGAAGAAGTAACAGCTCCGTCATCAATTGGTAATTTTGGTCATACTTCCATCCATGGAGAGACTAAAGGTATTAATCAGTTTGCTAAAGGAAATCCACGAGTTTTAGGTGTACCAGGAGAAACCATGTATTCCCAAAATGGATCTTTGATAAATTCTGCTGTCGAGAGTAAAGGCAATGGGAGGAGGTGGCTCTCCCATACATATGAAGCAGGTAAAATTTTTGGTAAAGTTCCTCGAAAGTCTGAAATGTATTCATTATTTTCTCACTTCTTTTTTATCTCCACTGTATGTATGTTAAATTTTATGCTGTGTAGAACCAAATTCATTTTAGCATCACTATGTTTTTACTAGATTACCACTCAGCGCTATTGAAATCCTTATTTTATTCACTGTGTGTACGAGACAATCACTTAGAGACCATCTCTGCACTCAAGTTTATGCGCTGGAAACCCTGAGTAATAACTTCTCTCTTTGAACTGACTGCTTTATGAACTTCCTATCTTCTACAGGGACCAGTAAATATAACCCCAGTTCTGTAACTCAAGGTCTCCAACAAAATAAATTGCAAATACCTTGTCAGTCAGCACAGGTCATGCTCAACCAGGCTTACCGTCATCCAGCAATATATCCAACGGGTTATAGTAGAGAAGATATGTGGAGAGATGGACCCAACCGTGATCATTTCAATAATAGCCATTTAGAACCAATTTCGGCTTCTCATACCCGTGGGCCATCCCCATCCATCAATTCTACAGGGTTTTCCAATTTATGGTCTCACTCCATCTCATCTTGGACAAAGCCAACAAATAGCTCTACTCAAAAGTCGACCACATTTCAACCATCTTTCAGTTCATCTTCAGGTCTGCATCCGTATGCGCAGAGCCAGGATACCTTTGGAGACAAGTGGCAAGTCAATGTTAGTTCTAGGTTGAATCTGGGTTCAGGAAATGATTTAACAAAACGAAATGGATTTCATTATGGGTCTGCCACAGGATCCAAAGAACTGCCTGTTCAATTACCTCTGTCGGGCTTTGATTATCTTAACTGCAGTAGGGATAATAATGTAACATCTGACCGTTCGACTAATCCTGGATTTGAGAAGTTTCTGAGTGGCTCCGGTCATGTAGATTTAAAACCTGCAATAGATATTAACTTGAATGAGGTACTCCCAAAGACCTCATCAAGTGAGGCAGTTCCTCTGCATGATCACATGGTTGGAAAAATAATGCCTGATGACCAACAGATGGATTTGCCTTGGCTTAAACCCAAGCCAGCATATGAAAATGAGGTTGTGAATACTAGGAGATCAGAACTCTCGGGGGACTTGGGCTGCCTCCAAGCTTCTTCCCATTGCAAGACTGAAGTAGTGAGTGATCTTAATCAAATGTTCATGCCACGCACCATGTTGTCTCCTAGTGATCTCGAGACTGGGGCTAAAATGAAAATAAGTGAGACTCAGAATGTCAAGAAAATTCTTGGGTTTCCCATTTTTGAACCCAATGCTCATAACATTGAGTCATCTGACCATGTTTCCACCTCAACAACTCCCGTTTCCCCTCCCCAAAGGGAAAAAGTCAAAGATGAAAGGAAAAACAGAATGATTGATATTAATCTTGCTTATGAGTCTGATGAGCAGATTACTCCAGAAGAACTGATTGTAGAGAAGGAAATGCGTCCCGGATCTACAGGTATGAGGCATCACATTGATTTAAATACTTCAATTAGTGAGGATGAAGATCCAACAGCACCCTCTATTGCAAGCAACAATGGCAGTGTGAAGATAATCTCGGACATTGATCTGGAAGTCCCTGTTCTTCTGGACTGTGAGGATGATAATACACCGTCCAAAGAAAATATACAACATGAGGCCTCTTTACAGTCACTAGAACACAAACCCGAAAAAATACAGGATGAAGTTCTTAGGAACGCTGCAGAAACAATATTTTCGATCTCAACACCTTGTCAGCAAATTCCCATGGATGAAGGCATTTGCCATCCCTCTGATATATCCTATTCAGATTCACTCATCTGGTTTGTCAATGTTGTATCATCACATGCAGACGAACTTGAGAGTAAATCTGGTAAAGAATCAAGAGTTGGTGATCCTGCACCATTTTGTTGGGAGATAGACGAGTTTGAGGCTATGGCATTGCAACTAACAGAGACAAAAGAAGAAGACTACATGCCTAAACCCTTTGTTCATGAAGTTGAAAAAGTGGAAGAAATGGGAGTGGGTTCAAATAGAACTCGAAGGAGTCAGACAAGGAGAGGAAGGCTGCGGAGGGACTTTCAAAGGGACATCCTTCCCGGTTTGACCTCACTCTCCAGGCATGAGGTGACTGAGGACCTCCAGACATTTGGAGGGTTGATGAGAGCCACAGGCCATTCTTGGAATTCAGGCTTGACAAGAAGAAATGGCACGAGATATGGGGGTGCTCGAGGAAGGCGCCGTACAGTGATTGAATCTTCCCCTACTGCTATTTCAACCCCAGTTAGCGTTCCATTGAAGCAGCAACTTAGTAATATTGAAGCTCGTTTGGAGGACGGAAGCCTTACAGGCTGGGGGAAAACAACTAGACGGCCCCGCAGACAAAGATGCCCTTCTGGTAATCTTCCGACTGTTGCATTAACTTAACAATGCAGAGGCAGTTATTATTGTTATAGATGGAAGTAAGACGCAATGGAGCTTGTTTTGTGACTTTCTGAGATTCTGGCTGCTGGTAACTATGGTTCGGCTTTGTAAATCTCGTTCTGATTTTGTCTTTGGCTTACAGACTTTTATTAGTTAGAAATAATGTCCGATTTCTTGTGGATAATATACAAGATTGCTTTGAATATGTGCATTCATCTTTTTCAAAAGCTATTATTGCTTTTTCAATTTTTGAATTCTCTCACGAGGTCTCGGGTGCAAGAATGCGTCCCATGAGATTCGACTCAGCTACATAGGGAGCAGTTCATTGCCTTGGAACTTTTGAGATGGTAAGGTTATATTAGTTGGGAGAACTATATCATTGGTTTCAAAGGACTTTGTGGCTAGGTTGACATGCCAAGGAAATGGTCCAAACCACTGAGCTTATTGTAATATTTCTGTGTCTAGGTTGACATGCCAAGGAAATGGTCCAAATCATTGTGAGCTAAAATTTTTTAACATTATCCTACATAATTCGTGTTAATTGGAACATGTGTAGATTCAAAAAGGCTATACAATTTTTGTAAAACAAGGTAGAAGAGATAGGTGTAAACAGTGGTGGAGAACAAGCCCATCAGCTCGAATGGCCTGTGGCTCAACTCGGAAAAAGCTCAAGTGGAGTTGGCTCGAAGCTTGTTTGTACGAGTCAAGGCTTGGGTGAAGCCTCAAAAATGAGAATTGGCCCAAACCTGGGCCATCCCGCTAGCTGCACAAGCCCAAATATAGGCCGGCTCGTATGTGGGCTCTTATGGTCCACATTTTCAAACCACTTGCATAATTAACTTTTTTTAGTTTATAAATTAACGACCACTTTGTTTGTAAAATTCAACAACTTGCATATTCACTTTTGTAGTTTGTAAATTAACGATCAATTTTTCATATATTCGAGTAAGAAATAAAATAAAAAATTGAGAAGCCTGTGAATCGAGCCTTTTTTCTTCTTTTATAAGCCGACTGAGCCCTGAGCTTGGTCTCACGAGCTAGCTTGACTCAACTCAACTCGTTGCCACCACTAGGTGTAAATCGAACACAATCTACAATAATTGCTTTAGAACTTCTAACGTAACTATCAACTAAACGAACAGAATGGAAGGAAGGAATCTTGCAATTGGTCCTGGTATTTGCATTTATACCTCAGACTCGGCTTTCCAAAAGGAAAAGTGCAACAGCTTACAACACTATTCTAATAGGACCATTAAGGCGAGCCTATAGATTGTACTTTGTAAAATTTAAAAAGCTAGACTATGCTAACAAAAGGTTAGTGCTATCTAGATAAATGTAAAAAATTAAGAATGAACGATGGTAATATATTTGATACGTTGACTAAACTTGAAAATCTTTGTCACGCTCACACGTCTCTTTTTGTTCATGATAAATTTTAACATATCATCAAATTATAATATTTACTGAACTGATGAGATGGAACAAAAATCTTTCAAGTTTGTGAATTCAATTTAATTCTTAACTCAATTTCAGAATCAAACATAGTGGGGGTGTGGTAACACTCTGTATTCTAGCCCACAACAAGCCCTTTGGGCAACAACATAGGGCCTGACTTTCGGTATTACCAAACCTCCATATGAGATCATATAATTAGTAGTGCCAAATTTTCTGATGCAGAGAATCCTCAAAGAGACAACTGTAGAGCATACTTTTGATACTACTTAGATCTTGTTCTTACTTATTCATTCTGAAATTTTCACAGTTGTCAAGACTATGGAAGAACAAAGAAAGGATTTTAGAAGAACATTTTTAAGAGGAACAAACTTTTTATTAAGAAGAGTTGAGTTCGAGATGCTCATCAATGAAAGATAAGAGCTCATTATATAGAGGAGGAGCCTCATCAGACAACCGACACAAAACTAATAATACTACCAATGACTCATCACTTTTAGTACAATACTTATTACATAAGGACATGTCTCACAACTTAAAAGGACATGACTCATTACTTAAAAGGACATGACTCATCACTTTATTAGCATGACTACTTTTAGTACAATAATTTTACAACTATCTTTTAAAAAGTAAAGAATCTACTTTTTAAAAGGGATTTTATTGCAAACGACAAAATGATTATTTCACACGAGCTGCTGAGTCATCAAGGTGTTCCAAGATTTGCTTCTCGTCCAGGTTCATTTGAATCATCTGAATCAGATGGGAGTCCATGTTGCTTCCACCAAGGCCAAGTTGTAGTATCAAATTTTTCTTCAAAAACTTTTTCTTCCAATTTTTCAAGATTGTCTGGGTCTGTTGGATCAAAATCATACGACTGTGTTCCATAATCATATGGATCTTGAGAGTCCTGGAAAACACTGTCATTATAATTTATTTCCGTATCCAAATATCTTGAGTTTTGTTTGTCTGGATTGCTTGATCCTGGTTTGTCCACGTCCATTTTATCAATTTTTATTTTTCCTTGAAATTCATTCCAGAGATTGTTACGCAGTTGTTGTCCTTCTGGTGTGGTTTCTGGATATTTAGATGTTTCTCCAAGGCATTGATGCAGCCTTCCCAAGTAAAGCTGGTTCCAATGGGTTTTGTCACTTTCCCAAGTAGCAGATGGATAGTGTCCAAATACTTGTCCAAAAATTTGGCATTGTCCTTCTCTGTGTTTCTGAACATCTTGCTGAATCTTGGTTGCATAGTCTAGAGGTAGGATTTCCCATGGAGCATCATCTTCTATGTCTGGCCAAATTTGTGGAGGAATTGTCTGGTTGATTTCAGCCATTTTTTTTGAAATTCTTGGAACTCCTTTCGATACCTTTCCCAATCTTGATGGAGATTGAAAGGTTGGACTGCATACTCTTGATATAAGAGAAGTGTTCATAAAAACCTGTTTCTGTAAAATATCCTTGCCGTTGGAAAATCAGAATTACAAAAACATTATTTTGGGAAGTTCTCAAATCTTTAAATTTTAAAGAAAATGCTTCAAACATTTTTATCCAATGAGAAA